GCGGCCCAACATCATCATCATGCAGCCCGACGATTTCAGGTTCTTGGACAACTGGACCCCTCCGCCCAACACCCCGGACAACCCGAACCTGGCGGACCCATTCCCCGCCGTGGGCCTTCCCAACATCGAGAGGCTGCGAACGAACGGGCTCCAGATGATGCAGGCGTACACCGGCTCCCCCATGTGCGGGACGTCGAGGTTTTCCACCATGACCGGGAGGCTGCCGAGYCGGGCGTCAACGGTGATCTCCGAGTCGGGCAGCGAGGGGTGGATTCCCTCGTGGATCACCATCCCTTCCACCAAACTCGAAGGGACCGACTGCTCCAGAGACAACCTCGCCGTTGCCTTTCGGGACGCGGGATACTACACCGCAATGACGGGTAAGGCCTGGTGTTTCGAGCCGCTGTTCCTGTTCCCGCTTTTCAAAAAATGCAGCAAAAACGGTTTGGTTCGCACGAAACCAAACCAAAACAACGCAACTCCGGCTCACACATCGTGCTTTCTTTTTTTCGTTCCTTCCTTCGCCGATTGCGGCAAAACCACGGCATCGAAATCAAACATTTTCTCGCCATACCTAACACAACGCAGGAAAATGGCATCTTTCGAGGATTGATAGAGATAATTACGACTACGATAAAGCCGTGGACATCGTTAAGGGCTGCGGTTTCGATCATGTGGATGGTACGTCAAACAAGCATCTAAAACTCCTACGGCAGTGAATTGCGTTCTACAATACAGCTTGCCCGATCGGTCTCCGTGTTATTGATCCACTGCTGTTATTTCTCTTGTACCCTCACCTATGTTCGCATTTCTGCATGGCATCACAACAACGGGACTTTTCCCATGAATGATTTGCTACGGCCTGGTAGGACTGTACGTCGAGAATATGGCGAACGGAGGAGAGAGTACGTGCTTAACTCGCACCAGAGGATTAACGATCGATGTGGAGATTCGGATTTTGGGTTTCGTTGTGGTTTCTTTTGGTTTCTAATCGTTCACCGCATTGCCCTATCTCGCTCCTTCTTTGCCCCTGCATTTCCCAACAAAGACCGACCCTTCAATAGCTACAGCGACGGAACCTTCAGCCACAACATGGAATGGGTTACCCACTCCGCCATCAATTTCATTAAGGAATCATCGAGTTCCGTAAGTCACATCGTCTGAATTGGCGCAAACCGCTTTTCGCAAGACGACGTTTTCATCGGATCCCATGCATTCGATTCATTCACACACGTACATCCCGTTGAATTTCTGCATTTCGTTCTGCTGCGCGCGTTCTAGAACACCCCCTTCTTCTTGTACGTGAATCCCACGGTGCCCCACGGCTCGAGGGGCATCCGGGAGGCACTCACGAGTTTCAGCTGCCGGGACACCGCCAACCACAAYCAAGTATGGGAGAGCGATCCGTGGATCAAGGGCATGTCCGAAGACGGTGGGTGCGCTGCTTATCGCCAGACGATCCTCGACCGGGCCGAATCCGACGACGATCTGGGAAAAATCTGGCTCGACGATTCCGTTGGTGCGTTGCTCACGGCGCTGGAGGACAACGGGCAGCTCGACAACACGATTTTCTTGTTCCAGGAAGACCACGGAACGGATACCAAGTCGGCCCTGTTCGAGGGCGGGATTCGAATCCCCCAGTTCGTCCACTATCCGAACTTTATCCCACCGTCGCAGAGATTTGATGGGCTTGTTTCTGTGTACGACATTGCTCCGACCATGCTCGACTACGCCGGGATCTCTCCACCGTACCAATTCGATGGAAAGTCTTGGAAGCACGCAATCTTTAACCCCACGGAAGAACAGAACTGGAAACACAGCCGGTGCATCTTCGCAGAGATGCAGACGGACCGCGCCGTGCGGTGCGGTTGTTACAAGTACATAAAAATATACGACACCGAGTGGTCCAACACTTACTGGAGGGCAGAGCGACACATGCTCGTCGGTGAGCTCCATGGAAATCTATACGACTTGTGCGATGGGACCGGCGATTACATCACCGCGAACGACAACAATCGCGAGGCCGTAGCATTCGTCGATCCCGATGTGGTACGTACGCCTGCTTTCGCGCTGCGGTTTCACAACAAACATGGTTGGCGTGCATCCTTTCTTCCGCGGCAATCTGATTGTTCTTGCTCTTTGCTCGTTTTTTTAGGAGTCCGCTCTTGTAAACACGCTCCAGTGTCACCTCGACCGATCCCATCCACAGAGAACACAGGACTTTTCCGTTTGCGCGTCTCCATTTGAACCTGAACCAGTCCCTGAACCAGTCCCTACACAATCCCCTACGACAGCCGGAGCATTTTGCGACGATTCGCCGCTGAGGGTCAAGAAGTTCGATACTTGCGAAGGTGTCGTCGAGGCAGGGAAATGTGGATCCAAAAAATACTGGTCACACTGTCGAGACAGCTGTGGCAAGTGCGACAAGTGCACCGATTCGAAGCAAACTCTCAAGCTCGCGGAAAAGATCAAGGTRGTTACCAAAAAGGACGGCGAAAAAATYACGAAGAACAAGAAATCCGTCACCTGCCGCGCCGTCAAGAAGGCCGTCAACAAAAAGAAACTCTGTAAGAACTCAGACATTGCAGTGTCGTGTGTWAAGACCTGTGGGGGCTGTTGAATGGCAATGTTATCGCGTGAAGGACGGTCCAAAGACTGCCGTTGATCGCGCCGCTCCAATGTGTTTGTTTTGTTTCGAGTCTGAGTTCAAGAAATCCGCGACCTACAAAAGAAGAGATCCCAAACTTTCTCTTTGCAGGTTCTAATCAATCGAACTCTGTCCTGTTTTGATGACAAGCTTCCGAGCTTGGAACACTAATTTATTACTGTAATCTGAGGCTGCTATTATAGCTCTACAATTATGATTGTTCATAGATAGTAGCATCAGATCTCTCTCTCTCTCTCTCTTTCATTTCAACCCGTCGTCGTCGTCGTCGTCGTCGTCGTCGTCGTCGTCGGAAGAGCCTAGCACATTCGATCTGCACACTCGAATACCTTCCGTAATGGTCTCGACGGTCCAATTGCAGTCCTCCTTCTTGTCGATGAACACGGTACCGGTTTTCTCATCGCTGYCTTGGGTTTTTTGTTCTTTTGGTTCGTCGCCGAGAAGCTGATACGGGATGCAGTGCTCGGGCAGGAAACGCCCCTGCTTCGTGCGTTCCAGCGCCGTCATTGTGGCCACCGTACCGAGTTCGATGCCGATGTCTCTCACCAGCGATCGGATGTACGTCCCACCGCCGCACTCCACTTCGATCTCGAACTTTTCGATGCGCGGTGGTTCGGATGCTGCGTCGCTGTCGCTGTCCCCGCTGCGGTCTGGCCGAATCAGCTTCAAATCGTGAATGACCACTTCCCGTGCTTCAATCTTGATCTCTTCTGCGGTCTGCCCCTTTCGGCCCAGTTCGTACAGTTTCTTTCCATCGCGTTTCAAGGCACTACCAGAATACAAAGCAATGCGGCATGGAAATGGGAACGGCAAAGGAGAGTGGATTGAGACACACCAGCAACCGTGTAGCACAACGACAACAAAAATCCGATCTACAGAATGCAGCGCAGCGCAACACGACGCAATGAATGCAACGAACGAAATGAACACAAACACAAACACACATTCACTCGCTTACCTGAAAATCGGTGGGACTTGYTGGATGGTGCCAGTGAACTTGGATTGGAGCATCGCGTCGATTTCATCGTAGGACACCACGTGGTCGAAGGATTTTTCTTCCACGACTTCCCCTTTCGGATCGGCATCGAGCGTCGTCGTTTGGTACCCGAGTGTCACCTCGGCGCGGTATTGCTTGGAGCCCACCAGGTACTTCTGGAGGTCCTTCGTTCCCGATCCGACCCCGCACACCAGCACGCCGGTAGCGAGTGGATCGAGGGTCCCCCCGTGCCCGACCTTCATCCACGGCCTTCGCTTTTTCGTGCGGCGGTCGGGTGCTCCCCGCTCGCGGGCGTCCTTCTCGAGGACGAACCGGATTTTCCCAACGACGTCCTGCGAGGTCCATCCGAGCGGTTTCGTCACCGCGAACAGGCCCTCCTCCAGGTACAGCGGGGGCGGTTCGGAGTCGTTGTCGCCCGTTGCCTCGCTTGCTTCTTCGGACGCAGCGGAAAGGGGTCTTTTTTTGGTGCGGTGGCCGCCGTTGCCGTCCCCCATGATGTCGCAGAGGCTGCGTCTGCCGTAGGTTGCTGCCGACCGCAGCAGTGCCTGCGGAGATTTGCAAGCGATGGTGTTGCAGTTGCGGTGGCAGCTGCGGTTGATGTTGATGTTGATGTTGACGTTGATGCTGATGCTGACGACCGAGTGACGAAACACAAAGGCGAAGGCAGGTGATGTCCTTGATAATACGACTGCCATTAAGAGAAGCCCGATGCGGTTTCTTCTCATCCTTTCCAWTTGCTTTGCTCTTTGATCTGGTGGTGTGATTTTCTACACCGGTAGCCGAAGAAACACCTGGTCAGGTACTTGTACGAGTAGGAATGATCAATCGAATGCAGTATCGTACTTGGTACTCGTATCTGTATCGACCGGAACACTGTGTGCCACAGATTTCCTATGGTACCTACCATACGGTGAAATTTGTCCCGATCGAAAAACAGAGAGATGCTTGTGTGACAGCTTGGTTTTTGTTTGATTTCGAAAATTTCGAAAAGTCTGGTGTTGCCGTTCTAGCGTTCGAGTGGCTGAAATTTCGTCATTAATATTATCCACGAATGAGATTTACGTTTGATTCGAATTCGACTAGTCGGACTGCACAAAACGGCTTCGGAATTACGTTATCGCTGTGAGGCCAAATCCCGAGTASCTAGTGAATATAACCTCACTCCTCTAATGTAAACCACGTATTAACACGCAGTAAGGAGCATATCAACATTTGCAGGTTACTCGTACGAGTACGAGTACTGCTGTGAGCCTAAATCACGAGTAGATAGTGAATAAGCTCACTCTTTATTGTAAACACGTAGTTATGGCACTAAAGAGCATACCTACGGTACATTTTGCAGTTTATTCCAAATACAGGAAACTATGTTGTACGGTAGATAATCTTACAAGCAGAGCTTGATTCCGGCTAAGTGGCTGGACTACAGTCTACAGTAATTCCTGATGTCACTAACGGTTAAAAATAGATCAGCAAACCAATCAAAAATGGAAAAAAGATGCAAAACAACCAGGCCATGTACAGTTCTACACGTAAAAAATATTTATTTCTAATCCGGGGGTAGACCTGCTGATATTGATTCAAACTACATACCGGTACTCCCATAGCTACGGTACCATATCTATGTAATACTATACATATGGTATATGGAATGTACCAATGCTGCCTTGAAGCGACACGTGGTGAAGTGATAAGTACTAATTGAACCATTAAACCACTTAGTCGAATAACTTCGATACATTAGGCACGGTTCTAGCTTCCAATCAGCTCCATGATTAACTTCCGCAGTTTTAGGTGAAGGAAGATTGAGGTTGACATTAATTTTTCATTCTTATTATTCTTACAGCTCGGAACTTGGTCTAAATAATCAAATTCTGTGTGGTCTACCTGGTAGTCTATATCAGCAAATTCTACCCCGACATTAATTTTTCATTCTYATTATTCCCACAGCTCGGAACGTKGTCTAAATAATCAAATTCTATGTGGTCAAGTCTATATCAGCAAATTCTACCCCGAATACATAGAAAATCATGGATGCAGGTTTGGGGTCATTACTTAATGTTTTAATACACTTAAGTAACTCAACTTGAG